ACGCTGGTGGTAAATACGTTGGCGTGCGGGAGCTGAAGACACTTTTTTAGTAAATTAGAAGGGAAAAAAAATTAAAACAGCATCAATTGTCAGCCAGAAGTCAAAACTATATTTTCTTTCTTTAAGATCATATATAAAAAAAAAACAAATGTCTATTAAAAGAGGTTGTCATCGACAACAAACAGTATAATAGTAGAATTAGAGATAGATGCAAACAATTCCAAAAAAATAAAAACTCCTGTCGATACACTGGTCAACACTGAAAAAATACATATTTCTAGTTAAATTAATGTACCGATGATGAAAATATCAATGGGTTTTTTTTTTCAAGCAGCTTTGGTTTTACTTTACACATAAATTAATATAAATGTATGATTTGACACTTTTTATGAAATGGTTACGGAGGTTGAGGACAAAAATTTTATTATAAGATTCTGTGAATAAGGCGCCTGTTTTAGATCCCAACAAAGATTCCAGTAGTAGTCGATCATCATATGTATATCCCACCTCCCTTAGTAACGTTCTTCCATTGTGCGAATATCCTGGAAACCTTTCACCTTGCTCTACACTATAATCTCCAAGGTTTGCATGAAATCGATCCTAATGAGAATGTAAATAACGTAGTTTATTGCTCATGTTACACCCTAGAAATTTCAAAACAGACAACATGACGTAAACTGTTTATATTTTTCTGATTTACGATTCCCTGAAAATTTTGAATCCCTAAAACGAAATATTTCACAGAATTTGCGTCTGTTAACAGTTGTTTGTTGATTTTTATTCATCGATAATGCCTGGTTTCAGCTCAGTCCAAGAATTATTTTCGCGAGATGAGCAAATTAGTCAAAGCCATTATGGCTTTGATTAATTACTTCATAATACTAAGCTCAGACTAAGGAGAAGATACATATCAAGCTTGTTGATGTCGATGGTGCTGGCACTAGTGATTGGTCAGAGGGTTCTGAGCAGCAAACAAGGACCAATTTTCCCATTTTTTAGAGTGTATACCAATGTATGTACAATATTAACCACAAAAAAAACAAAAATCTTCGATATGAGATACTTTTCAAAGAACAAATAACACCAAAACTGTCTGGATCGTTTAAACAATGTCTCTTCTACGTAGTCATCGTTTATTATTGTGAAAATATTTATAATACACTAGTTGAAACTCACTGAATATTCACTGTCATCTAAAATGAGGGTACTTTGAAATATTTTATAAACTATATAGAGCTGCTTCAAAAATATCAGTGTTATTTTTGAAATTCGAACACCAAAATACATCAAACGTGATGAAAATATTCTTGGAAAATTTTATGAAGTAGATAATTTTTGGGCTGTGAACGGGACTTAATTAATGTCTACTCGAGAAAGTTGTTAGACCTCATTCATGGGTAACCAACACTCACAGCTATAAGTCATGTAATTAGAGTAGTATAACACCGAAAATTGTAATTGCAAAAATGTTAATCACAATCACTCAAAGTATACTTTAAATTATTCTATGTACAGAAGCTAATCCAAGCCAAAAGAGATAGTCATAACGGAGCCCATGTGTCTCGTTCTTTCATCTTGCCATAATAAAAATAATATTGTTAATTAAAATTTTATTTATTTAAAAATTTTATTTAAAATTATATTGTTAGATTAATTTTGCATTCACAATGCCATATTGAAAAGTATTCTTAATACAAAATGCTTGAACAATCCGCTTGGTCCCTGGCACTCTGAGATGGAAATCGAACTCACGACCTTTCGCTATCCGGGTGACTGCTCTAACCACTGAGCTACCCAGGATCTAACAGGACTGAAGAAACTTTCAAGCACTTGTTACTTTTTCGCTACTACAGAGCGTATTCTCATCAATGTTCAGGCATCCACCCAAACAGCCGAAAGGAATATTGTTACAAATATTGAAACTTTCGATAAAGATGAGAATTTAGTTCTAATTATTATATTTTTGATTAATTTAACATTCATAATGTGATACTGAAAAATATTCTTAATACAAAATGCTTAAAAAATCCATTTGGTCCCTGGCACCTTCAGATGGGAATCGAACCCACTAATATCATATTATCACTTTAATTTCTTTACACAATAATCAAACATAAACAAAAATATTTATTTTTATCAAGTCTTTTTGTTGACTTATTTTCTACTGGTATCCCTTTGAAGTGTCATGGCGGGAATTTTTTTATTTTATTTTTATGTACTAAATATTCGCAATAATCGCATTTTTCATACAGTAGCTTCATAGATATTTAAAATAGTGTAAAAGTGTTCCGTTTGTGTTTATCCAAGCGAATCTTATGGTGGTTGTAATATATATTTTCATAGGTAAGATAAAAATTATTTTTTTTTATAGCTTATTTATAATTAAATTGTAAATTTTACACAAAATAAGCCAAATGTTTAACAATTACTTACGTATATTTTTATATAAATATATAGGTAATATTCACCGATTTCTCCGCAAAATTATGAAATAATTTTATATTAAAAATGTATTGGAAAAATTCTTATGACGAGCAAATAAACAAAATAATCATGACTTTCATTATGTTAACATCGTTTTTAGGCTTTCGTACCCAAAGAATAAATGGGAGCCCTATGCCCCCTAGGATTCCGCTGTCCACCTAGCCTGTCTCTTGCCTCTATTACAACAAATACAAGAATATAATAAAATAAATGAAACTAAACGCGATTGTCAGTGCAGAATCATATGTGCACGAGTTCTACCCGTTAGTGGTTTTTTTTTATAGGTATAGATATTTTATCTTTTTAGTGATACCTTTAATAAAACAATACGACTGTCACTATTTATATTTAAAATAGAATTGACTTCTAGCTTTAAAAAGTTCAGGAAAAATACTTACCATTTTTTATTTTTAGGGTTCCGTACAGAAAGGGTAAAACGGGAACCCCGCCGCTGTTTGTCTGTCACCAGGCTGTATCTTCTGAATCTTGATTTGATTTTTTTTTTAAATGCATGATGAATATACATGCATGATATTTTTCTATTAAATATCTGGCACTAACCTCAAAAAAAAATCTGGTATATCCACTTTTTTTGTTTCGATTTTATTGATGATTATAATTTGTGTATTATTTCTCTCTTTTCAGTCGCACCTACAAAGTATTACATGAAAAGTCTCACATAATGAAAATGTTATTGTCACCCTATTAAACAGGTACAAATAACCTCTGTACTTGATATCTCGCTCGGCTCGCTTTTCAGCTGGGAATACTCTATCCTGTTATAGGTACTAAGTCCATGGTATCTTCACAGCAGCCATAGATTGACCATACGTAGTATCTTCTTCTTAGTCTGTGGATTGACCATTGTTTAGAACTAAAAAGAAAAAGCATCTACTAGTGTACTGAAGCGCTACTTGATTTTCATTTTACATGTAGAAATTCTTTCATTAATTTAATTTTCATTTTACATGTAATAAATAATTTATTTACTTGACATTGGCAAAATTGTGCAAAATGCGCAGATAAGCCATTAATTAAAAAAGAAAAAGAAGAAGAAGAGGCGCTACTAATGTACTAAGGAAACTTTTTTGTAATTCGAGGTTATTAGAACAAGCCTCGCGTAAAAAAAGGATCCCCCAAAATTCTTGATGACGTTCTAATTTAAAAAAAAACAGAGTTAAATTGACATGAGATAAGGATTTTTTATAGTATTAATTAAATAATTTTCTATGGTACTGTCAGTATGAGTATCTTTTACTTTTGAATACCTCGGACATAGATTCATAGCCAAAGAACAAAAATATCAATATTTTGTTAAAGGAAAACTGCATGGGTTTAAATATTTAGACCAAAACAGATGTCGCTATTCAGACGCCACAAATACCTGTACCCTCAGCAGTTGCTTGTTTTTGTAATCAGTACGACATTAGGCAACAATAGGCGATGGACTAATTGTTTAAATTTTAAAATCTATCACAACCCCTTTCAAAGATATATATCTTATTTTTATTGTAGATATAGTGATAGCGATAGAATAATGTAACTTTTAAAGAAGCAATCGTTTTCGTAAAGGATGATTTGAATGGTCAAGAAACATCAACCCGTCGAAAGTCTGCAATAGGGATGACGACAATTTTTTGTTTATTTGTCCGTCAGGTAGATATTGAAGAATATTAAATACGTATTTTTATTTTTTGCGTAATCAATAAATTACGGCGATACATTTAGTTGAAATGTCACATGACGTCCCGCTTTTGTACATTTTCCACAAAACTTTTTCTACCCAGTCATCATTACAAGTCCAACTATACTCAAGTTACAGAGATTTCGATAGACTTTAAATTTAGACAATTAGGCCTTGGGAAAGTACGTTCTTGCCAGGCATGTCATCAACGGGCTTACTAATTACTTCATCATTATCAGCCCTTTTAGGTCCCCACTAGGGGCTCAGGCCTACCTTGTGGATGGTTAAAGAGGATGGGCCATGACCAGCCACGCTAGCCCAATGCTGATTGGAGGGTAACTACTTAGTTGCGGGTTTTTATTTCTATTGTACTGGAAGAAAGGTTCAATTTTTTTTCAATATTTGATAATTTATGGGCACGTTTTAGTGTAATTTTTATTTGTAATTACACTAGATGTTTTAGACTTTAGTTTTTATATTTTGATTAATTATAACTATATCAAATAATAAATAATTTATGTATGTTGTAAGCAACTAAAAATTCAAGCAATTTTGTATAATAATAATCGAAACCCGACATACCAACAAAGGTAGATTACCTATACAGACCGAAGATTGAATGAGAGTTTAATAAAACAGTAAAGTATAGCCACGGTTCACATAGATCACCACAATGTGATAAATTTTCGCAATTAATTTTAAATTCTACCTTCTCAATACATTATAGGTTTCAAATTAAGTCATCAACAGGGGCGCGGGTCTATTCTCTGTGAACCTACCCGGCAGTGAGCTGCACTTTACCTTACGTATCGAGTTGGTAGCACTGGGCGTCACGTCACGTCACTGTCATTTATTTTGGATGTGTCAGTGTCATTTATGAAAACAAATAATTACTTTAATTTATTAGATAACAGTTGTTTGTGCCAAGTTTGTACCCAAATCATCTTTAATGATATATGAATTTTAAATAATTATTCCTGGCCTCTTGTCTTGTATTTATAACTTTACTCATGTCGATGCAGAAATGGTGATGTAAATAATTAGTTAGTTATACATAACAGTACATTGGGATAATGAAATGGAAAAATGAGCTTACAAGATAGAATAAAACCTATATTAAAATTATTAAAAATTTTCTCGGTGTGTGGAGGCAGTGGTTTATTTATTGCTTACCATATTCGTCAAACATGTAAATCGGTGTCAAATATTGTAAATTCAAATGTTCTTGACAGAGAAAGGAAACATACCTCAGAATATATTTACATTGACGATCCAGCATACGATGTTACGATGATGTTGGAGCAGGATAGAGAGAACAAACAATCTGTAGGTTTGTCTCGAATATGGAAAAGTTTGAAGCATTCTTTAGCTTGGCGCCTTCTGTGGTTGTGCCGACATGGGAACCGAGAACAACGTAACATAGCTCTAGAGCAGTTGGCCGCCTTCAAGAACAATAAGATCTGGGATTGCTTGAAACTTGCTCAGGCACTAGACAAAAACACTGCCGTCTTGTTGGCAAGGACTCAAGGTGCCGACCTTCGATATTTCTTACCACCACCAATTCATGTACGTCGTGCTGCACTCACTTCTGAATTAGTTTCCTTCAGACTAAAAGATATGATATCTATTGTTCAAAATATAAATCCTCATAGTTGTATACAGCACTTTCTTTCAAAACATTTTCTCAATGTTCAAGAACAAGCTATGGAAGCAGACAGTATTCCGACTAAACCAGACAGTATTAGTGAACGTGATCTTTGCATCTTATGTCTTGATGCTCTTCATCATCATGTAAGTTTATTTCATTGTAAAAACTATGATGAAGACACTTCTGTGAAGTCATTGATAGCCATTGGATTACTACCAAAGCTGGCAGAACTGATGCTAAGATATAAATATGACAATGATTTGGATTTAGCTGTACTTAGGATACTCACTGTTTTAAGTGTACATTCAAATTTATTAACAGATTTTTTTCAATATGGTCTCATAAGAGAGCTCTCACGTCTTTTACGATCTAATGACATTCGCCTTTCCAGTTCTGCTGCAGTATGCCTAGCAAATTTATCTGGAGAATACTGTTATAGACCAGGATTGTATCTTTTGTATCCTCTTTACAGAACAAATACTCCACATTCGTGTGATACTCTTTTAGTTCATGGCTTAAGAGGTGGAGTGTTTGTTACTTGGAGACAACGTGACAGAAAATGTGCAGACCCAATCGGTATAATAGATGTCACAATATCTGAAGTGGATTGTGACTCATGTGTGAAAGAACCAGATATTAACACCCAGTATTTAGATCCAGAATTTAAACAAGTTGTAGAAGATATTATAGAAATGGAAGATGAGAGATTGTTAGCTGATGTTGAGGTTGTTCTTCATGATATACCTCTGGAAGAAAAGAGGGTGCCTGCCAATAAGAATAATTACACAACAAAAAGAAAGCTGGTTGCTTTAAAGGAGGAAAATCAAGACCGATGTAATTATACTCACTGCTGGCCCAAAGATTGGCTGCCTAAGGATTGCAGTAATTTAAGAATTTTGGGAGTCAACTACTGGAGCACATTATCAGATTGGTTAGAAAGGTGCCCTCTACAAGCAGCTGATATAGCCACAAGAGCTGCTGACATGGCACCTGTTCTTGTAGATGCTGGTGTCGGCACTAAACCTATTGTTTGGCTTGCACATTCAATGGGAGGATTAATTGTTAAACAAATGCTTGTTGAAGCAGCAGAAAGCAAAAATCCTCTATTAAGAAATCTTTCTCTTAATACAAAAGCAATAGTATTCTACAGTACTCCTCATAAAGGTAGTGCATTGGCTACAATGCCTCGTGCTGCTGCTGCTGTGATTTGGCCTTCTAATGATGTTAGACAACTAAAAGAGAATTCACCAATACTGCTTGAACTTCATAATACATTTATAAAATTTGCTGATACATTTGGTTGGGAAACAATAAGTTTTGCTGAAACATTGCCTACTTTGGTAACATCATTTAAAGTTCCTATACATTTTGTTGAATCTGTGTCTGCTGATTTAGGTAGAGGTGTTTTCTACCGTTTACCTCTTGATCATTTGTGTATTTGTAAACCTGCCACAAGGCAATCTGTTTTATACACTACAGTGTTAGATATATTGCAAAGAGTCACAATGAAAGACATTGAATTGCAATATTCAAACCCTATTGTAGAATGGTTGATGGGATTATTTTATCGCCTCTATAACAATAAGTCAAAACAAATATTAGAAAAATTTGACGAGACCCACAACATTGAACAACTCAAGTGGTTTGAAAAATTTTTACTTGAAACATTTACAGATGGTTTTACAGATTAATGTGGTATATAATTATTTTATGTTATCCTGTTTTGGTTTTCTTCCATCCAAGTTAATATTTCTACCTATCAATGTTCAATATAATTATAAACTGTGCATATTTCATGGTGTTTTTTTTTTTGCGTCAATAAAGTTCAATAACAAAATGTAGAAATATAAGACTTTAGGAATATAAATTAATTAATCTAATGAGTAATTTTGATATATTTGTTTCCACTGGGGAGATGTTTTAATAAAAATAAAAAAATCGTATTAAGTATGACCTTATTATTACAATTATAAAGTGAGGTACGTACAGATGCAAAATATAAAGTTATGCAAACGATTATAAACTTAATTAATTGCTCGAAAAAACAGTATTACAGCTGCATAATTAATCTAGTTGAAAGACGATAAATTCTCTAAATTCTTAGGGCTGGCTGCTCTGCATTCTATAGCTAATACCATATGAACACTGCTGCTTTGGGACCTGTTTTATTTTAATTTTTAAGTACACGTGTATTTAAAATGTAGATCGCAAAAAATATGATATCAGTAATGGTTTCTATTATATATTGTTATTGTATTGTTTGATATATGTACTCCAATTAGGTGATGTATTTTTGTGTCAAAAATTGCTCATAATATAGTAGTAAAGCTAACTTAAGTAGGTACCTGACTAAAAGTAGGTATGTTAAATACTACCTACTTTTAGTTGGGTACCTACTACTTATAGCATTTGAGATTGGTAATTTGTTAGTTAAATCGTGAAGTTGGACGATAATGATCATTGAGATTCTTCGAAGAAACTGAAAAAGCAAAATCGCTACAATGGTAAATGAAGCGACATCTATGCTATGGTTTATGAACGACGTAAAACAGCCTTGTCACTATAGAAGCAAAGCTTGTTAATTTTGTTGGCCTGATGCGTTAAAGAACTCTTCATAGATGTCGCTAGCTACAATATAATGGAAAAAGTTACGAAAATACTAAAGGATATCTACGAAAATAAGAAGAAAAATGAAAATTTAAATTTGTAAACAAAAGGTTTTTTTATTTAAAGACAACTAGATCTATTCCCTTTCCCTGTGACCATAAGGCCCAATTATTAAGTCGATAGGTTCATTTAATCCGTATATATTCTATCATTTGATATAATAGGATTAACGACCACTTTAATTTTTGAAAAAAAAATTGGTACTTTAAATTAATTATAATATCCTTACTAATAATAAATTTATAAACATTTGTATATTTATATACTTAATTTTAATGTGGCTTTTAGTTTGACAAAAAAGACAAAACACTGCAAAGCTATACAACTCTTAATTACTTTTTTAAGGCTTTAAGAGTATATTTAGTTTTTTATTGGAATCGATGGTGTACAGTCAACAAAACAATTTTTTCTTTAGTTCTTCTTTTTTCAATAGTAAACTTTACTCTGATCGAGTTCTGACTCACTGCAAATGCGAGTGCAATAATAAAAAATAATAATACCACTTTTATATAACGTATTTAATAACAATTTATTTGCCGATATTTTAATAAATCGCAATTTCGTTAAATTAATCAATTTTATTAAATATTATTGAAATTTAAAGCATTTTACATTATATTTCTTTGCAAAGTGAAATAGTTGCGTTTTTTGTATTTTGTTGAATGATTTTCTACAGAAAATTAAGTTTGTGAAATAAGATGTATTTGATAGACTATTTAATATTCTATTTGATATTTATAGCGTAAGTAATTGTTTGTTATTCGATGTTTAATCAAATATTAGTGAACCTTTTTAAACAAACTGACGATAAACCTGATAATGTCAATCAAATTGTCAATGCTATAATTTCCGATTTCCTTTCTGTTGTAATAAAATTGAATCGATTTTAGAACATCTATAATAAATCATCGCACTTTGTCTTTCTTTTATTGTCTTTTCAATATTTAATTGATTATCGCTAGTTTTAGTTTTTTTACTTCATTTATGTATACCTACCTAAATAAACAAAAAATATTTTTTTTATCTGTTTTTGTGTCATTTCTCAGGAATTAACGGAAATATCTCCAATTTTTTACCACTATATATTAATTAACATTTATTTTTATTAAAAACGTCTTTAATGTGCTGACCTAAATCGAATTTTAATATGCAATAGATTTTCAAATCCCCGTCTTTCGGTGGATAAACCTTTAAGTTGGTAACATTGCTGTCAATTCTACAAAATCAAATATCGTCATTACATCGATTAAATGTCGTATCTTATGAATTATCCTAGAATCATGGCTAGAGAGTAAGTGCGACCGCCTCTGGGTATTTGCAACATACGTCGCGTACACGACCAAAAGCATCGATTATTTATCTGTCGGCTACCTCAATAATCCACGTCGAAAGACAAATGTGCGAACAAGATGTATTTTGGTTCGATTTTTTATGTTTCTGTCTCTCAAAATTTTGCTCAGTTGATTCATTATTATCATGGCCATGCCACTGCCTCTTCTATCTCTGAATCGCTATAAAACTATTATGTACCTATGTTCATCATATATTAATGAGCAAGAGACCTTATTTTCAAATATATACCTGCAAGTAACACGGTGGCGTAGAGGATAAGCTCCGCGGTCCGCGATCATCGTTGTTTAACTTCCGCAAGGGTTGGTCACGGGATGGGTGACCAAAAAAAAATTTATCTCGAGCTACATACTCCGTGCTTTGGAAGAAACGTTAAGCCGTTGGTCCCGGCTGCAATTGCAGTCGTTAATACCTTCAAATTCGTATTGGGCGAGCGTGGAGGGTAACATCCATAAGGAAGCCCTGTGCCTCTGCAGAGGGGACTTAAAAAAAGGCTGATGATGATGATGCAAGAAGATGTAAGTGGTCACGTAAAAAAAAGCACATTTGCTGTATGAAAGGGTTCCCGTTTTACCCTTTGGGTACGGAATCCTAAAAACATGTAAGTGCGAGACGGATTCATGCGCCGAAAGTTTCATTCATATTTGATTTTAAAAAAATACTCATAGACATTCAATTGGAAAAGAGACTAAAAAAATGGCTGGATGTGCCTTTAAAAAATTGAAATACAAAAACAAAACTTCACAGCATCACATTTCCCTCGTTAATATATTTAAACACATTTTCAAGAAAGGATAAGAGCACCTATATTCCACATGCATGTGCAAGAAAAAGTTGATGGATTTCAGCGCGTACTTTCAATTTTAAGCCCTGCGATTCTGTAAAAATCCAATCCCGAATTCTAATTCACTCCAGAAAGCGGCATCCGCTCAATGTTGGTAATAACGTTTTTAGGTTTTCAGTTTAGTTCCACTTGCAAAAAGCCTATTGAAATGTGACGTCACGCGTTGCTTCGTCAAGGTCGCCCGTGATTCAATTCTTATAAGTACCTAATCCAAAGATTCAACAGTTTTTGATCATCAAATGAAAGAGCTGTTTCATTTGATGATCTTAAAAAGCTTTAGTTTTTTTCTTTGAGTTACGGATAAAAATAGGTAGGTATCTAAACCTATTATTTAGTGAAGACCCCAACAAATACTGAGTACCTAATTTGTAAAATACCAGTATGCTGTTAGAACTGTTTGTGACTTGGACCAGCTCTTTGGTATATATATATATTTTAATGTTACAAGGATAAATTCAAATAAGTATACGAAATACAAAGAGTATTAAATTCTCCTATACAAAATATCATCTATAGCACAACATGGCGGCTTCCCCTAATAACGAATACCTACCTATTCGATGAACCCCTTTTTCACTTGTACTTACCGACAAACGAATAAATTACAAGTAGCCATTTTTCATATTAAGGGGACGCGTAAAGACAAAAGCTCGTCACAGACGGTGAATATACTAATAATATATCTCTAAGATAAGATATCGTTCAAACTACAATCCAACAGCCCAACACACAATCCAATAGCCCAACACACCCGGCCCAATAAACACGGATGATTATATTTCATAGGTGATAACCTAAATACAAATAGATTTCCATACCTTAAGATAGTACGGAAATCTATTTGTATTTATAATGGGTAAAAAATTATCGTATGTTAATCGTGTGTTATATATGATAGCTTAAGATGTTAATATCTTATGAAATATTATAGCGTCTTAACCGTCTGTTGCGAGCTTAATTGATGAAAAAGATGAAGTCTAAATAAAACCCTCAGACCACGTCTCTCAAGCACCTCCACCCAATGGCTCTTGATTTTGACCACTTCCCTTTTGGTTTCTTGGATACCACTTCGAATACATTGAAGAAACTCAAAGGCATTTGAAATTTTTGTAACTCAAGCGCTTAAGCTACTATTTAGTACTTATTTTGGGTTCTGAGCAATGAAAATCTTGTTTTAATATATATTTATATACGAGTATTATTCAGTCAACATTCCTCCGAGTAGTTAAAAATTATATTTATTATATACACGTATTTGTTCCCTTCAGGTCGGACAACTAATATTTACCTACGTTGCATGTAAAAAATATATTGTAAATAAAAAAAATATGTCAATTGCAATTAGGTCACAACGGGTGTCATTATTAATACGCCGTCGACTGTACTGATGTAACATCCGGTAGCGACACCTCTTCTACGTTTCGCGACAGGCCCCTGAAGCTGGCAAGAGGCTAACGGATCGATATGCCACGCCATCAACCGGTTGCCATGGTGATACTGTCCCACTGAACAAACGCACTAGAATTGTAAAAATGTAAGTGCTCAGGGAATGCATGGAATAACAGTGATATGTTATATCTACTCCTATCTGACAGTACCTGTCAGATTTGGTCTAAAGAATCTATTTGGACACTTGAAAAAATCCTCTAAATTTTCTCATTAATCTCTAAAGCAAATAAGCTGATAATAATTCAATATATATAAATAAAATATATATTCGATTAAACGCCCATAATTTTGGCATGTATATATAGGTATACATTTAAATCATATTTATAATAATAGTATAAATAACAAAAAGGAAAGATTTTGTCACTTTTATGTTTTTGGCACATAAATGTGGAAAGCAATAATCCAAGTTGTATTTAGATTGATTTAGATTGTTTTAGTATTTTTTTTAATGATAAGCAATCATAGAGAATACTTACAAAAACATAAGTAATAAATAATAACAAAAAAATAAAATAAAACCATATCGGACAACCATTATAGACCGCAACTAGTTTAATTATTTGTCTATTGAGGCTGATATCTATTCTGCTGAGTATTGCTGAGTAATTTAGTTTTTTTAAGTATTATGTTTATCGTTTTCTAAATTTATTAATGTCACATTAAAATCGATTTTGTTTTAGTAACATAGCCTCTAATTAGTAGCAAATCGAGTTGGGCCACCATTGGCCATAAACGACTGTCCGCATCGCGATTTTTAATCGCTCGGATTTTTTTTCGCAATGACGTAACACCTTGTCTACATTGCGCTTAAAATTCTGCGCGATTTTTG